ACTAAGGTTCTTCTGGCCAAAAATGATTTCCAGAGTATATGGATGTATTTATTTATTTTGCTGATGGGTTTTTCTTCTTCTTGAGATCTTTAAATAAAAGGGTTCCTAGGTGTGTTGAGGTCCGCGTCTCAAAGTATTGAGAATGGGGTCGCCACTGACTACAGTTTCAATTTATTTATATCTATAAAAATAGCTTTAAAAGTTTCACATTTATTTCGATTTCTTCCTAAACATTTCTTCCCTGCCCCCCCACCAAATTCCAAGAAGGAATTTCTTCTTCCCATTCTCAGTCTTCAAAAAGGACACTGAGAATGCTTTGCAAATATTGTTTATGATTACACAAACTTATTTCAAGTTTATCTGGACCCCTTAGTCCGTTTATAACTTTCTAAAATCAAAGTTTAATCATCCTTTTGCCGGACTTCCGGAGGAAGAAACAGCGGCCTGAAGATGGCTCTGCGAAAAGCGGAGTCAACGACTGCAACGAAGAACGAAGAGCCAGCAAGAAGACCGGCGCTTCATAATTCCTCTCCGGACAAGGAGAGGACTTGAGATCACCCTTGAGTGCTCCAGACAACTGCTCCTCACAAGGAGACCGCAAGACAGAGGTCTCTGGTGGGTTTAGAGCTCTGGGAGATGAGGGAATAGCCATCTCGCTCAAACCACAGTCGGCACCTCCGTGCATACTTTCTTTTCTAATCACTTTTGGAAATAGCTTGTTAACGGCTTTTCAGCTATTAGGAACCTTTGGATCGACAAGTTTTACAGCACCAAGTGAATATCCTTCAATCGTTAGCAAAAGAAGTTTTAACTACAAGTTGAAGAGCTAAAAAAAATTCTTGAAATAAATAGCAAAAGGATGATTAAACTTTGATTTTAGAAAGTTATAAACGGACTAAGGGGTCCAGATAAACTTGAAATAAGATTTTAGAATTAATTATAAAGAATCCTTCCCATGGGAAAATGCTTGTGTTTTGAATTTTTAAAAAAAGTGTAAGATTTTAAAAATTGGACACTAGAGGAAACTAAAGACTACAATTAAAGGATAAAAACACATTAACTCGACTTACAGAATGGAGCAAAATATTGTAATATTGGACTTATTGCAGGATATTTTTTGAAAAATGGACTCAGAAGTTAATATTAAGAGTGTCAATGGAGACATCTGCCTCTACATGTCTAAAAGACATTATGGAACAGGAATAAGTTTTACCTGGCAAGATCAAGACTGAGTTGAAACTGGATTTACAAATGACAAGGCTACAAGAATGACATGGAAAAAGATATTACACTGGACATACAAAAAAACCTGGCTGATATTTTAATAATTAAAAGGGATATACAAACAATAAACCAAGAGACTGACCTGGATAATTTTCCTATATTGGATTTACAAAAGAGGCTTGTTAAAATTTTGAAGAATCTCATGAGAAGGGACAAAGAAAAAATGAAAAGAAATCAAGTTCTACAACCTTATTCGAAGGGACTAAAGATTAAGATTCTTAGGAGTAAAAGGAAGGCATTTAAAGCTGGTTTATTTGATCAAGGTTAATATAGATATGTTGTTACTTCTGGTAACCTTAATAGACTTGCTGATACCAGGACTGAAATGATGATGCTTTATGGATTTGTTTATAGATAAGAGATGGGAAATGGGAAGCAGAGATCATTTGTTTTATTTTAAGAGGCGGTGCTAAATTACTAAAATTGTTTATATTTGTTGTGATGAAGGTTGGAAGTCACTTCATTATATATTTCTTTTTCCTTTACTATATTTTCACTTTTCTCTGTTTTTTTCCTTTTTTTTTCTTTTCTGCACCTTCTATTCTTTCCTTCTATACTTCTATCTTTCTTTTAGTTTGTATTAGTTTTTACTATTATAATTATAAACTTTAATAAAATTGCTATATAAATATAATGATACAAGCAGTAAATACAATTACCAACTCCCATTATTTTCAACTACTGTCCTTCCCCAACTTGCAAGAAATCTCTATACTTACTGTTTTTGAGTTAGTGACATTTGTGGGATGGTCGAATTCTGCAATCTTCGTCCAGGTCACGTGGTTCAAAATCCGTACCTGGTTATAAGAAAGAGGGACCAATGTTTCTGATTGTTGATCAAAATAAATACATTGATTGATGGTAAAACATGGGGCGATAAAGACATAATAGGAAAATCCCATCAAAATTAGAACAGTGTTTCTCAACCTCGGCAACTTTAAGATATGTGGACTTCAACTCCCAGAATTCCCCAGCATGCTGAAGAATGCTGGATTAGAGAATGGGGTAGGAAAAATTATTACGTTTGTGCCCACAACAATTCCACAAGATACTTTTGCTTTTAATTGCAAAGTTCCCACAGAATGGGAACAGAAGAAACAAGTTACTAAAATACTATAGTAAAAATACTATTGGGTGGTTAAACTGGCCATTAGTCTGGGTTCGAAAGGTGCCCTGGATCATAAGCTAGCCATCATCAACAAGCCATGATCAGGGATTGTTTCAGGCATCCGCCTTGGCCACCATCGACTGCTGAAAGTGCTACATTTCTAAGCATAATTCTTGCAAACTCTTCTTTAACAAGATTTATTGAAAAGAATGGGATGGAGTTACAAGACCTCCAGCAACTCAAGTCTTTCCTATTTAGAATCAATATAACCTCTTAGGCTGGAAACAGTCTTCTAATGCTCCAGAGAAGAGGCAGGTCTCTTCACTGATAACAGAGAAGACTGAAGCCGGTTGCTTTTATTTTTATAGATAGATGATAGATAGATAGATAGATAAAATTTGTATTGTGGTCAATAACTAGTTGATACCACAAAGAGGAATAGAGACTACACAAATTCGACAAAACAAATAAAATATACATTTTATCATACTAGATGTCAGAACTTTATGAAATATATCACCTAGCTGAGCCCTGAGAAGTCAAGAAGTAGCCAAACCTGGCCACAACAGAGCTTAGCATAGTGTACAATTTTGGTTACTTGGCTGGAATTAGCTTAGGGCACTGGGTGAGCCCAGCCATTGCAGACTGCAAACCATGATTGACAACAGAGTAATGAATTTGAGATGGGTGGCACTTGGCACGGCATATGAACCCAGCCCAATTCTAGTTAATTCGGCCAATTGCTTAAACACATCATGGCCTAGCATTTAGGACGAATTTTGGACTCTGCATTATCATGAGTTGTGCAACCAGAAGCATTTTTCTTTGGCCAAATTCACCTTTCCATCGTAGCTGCCAATGGCCAAGAACTGACTGCTGGGGCTCCAAGTAAGAGACTTCACGCCCAGAGACCATTCGTAAGCTTTGTATGTAGAGAGGAGACGTCCATCAAGGGTGTAGAGCAGAACTTTATACTGAAAAAGAGGGCAAAGTTGTAAAAACCGATCTTCTCAACAACTTTGTGTCATCCACCCACACCCACTTGCTGACTATCCCCCGGTCAAGATGCCAAATGTTTAAAAAGCAAATATGCCCAGCACTGACACTCAAACAACAGAATACCAGGCTTAGAACAGAAGCCTGTTTTGTATCCCACTGTTGTAAAGATCGGAATGGCCTTGGGAGACAGGAGGAAGCGCTGCAGACTAGGCAACGGTCAGATAAGAGGCAGCTGAGCCCACAGAAGGAAAAGGGGAGTGGGAAACATCTCAGAAGGGACCTTCCCTATTTTGGACTGTAAAGGTGAGGGAGGAGAGAGATACTTTCAGAATTGCAAGATTCTGTCAATGTAACCTTACAATAAAGTAGAATTACTTCATTTAGGCGTGCTCCTGACGGGACTACCTTGCAAGGCTAACTAAACAGCTGGAATGAATTTAGTGGAAGCGGTGTGTGCAGATTCCCTCACCTCGAGGCAGCTGTCCCACACTGCCAACACGCAGCCATTGGGGGCCCAATCGATTCCCACAGCATCCTGGGTTTCGGTCTCAAAATGCTTTGGAAACAGAGACAAGGAAGTCAGAGAAATCAAGCCATAAGATCAAGATAGACTTGGCAACTCGGTAGCAAACCGCAACTTTAACAACAGCGGGGGGTTATCCTGGAAAATTTGCCCACCAAATGAGAGGAAGCAGCAGTGTTCAGAAATCGGGGAGCTGGTGCCGGAAAGGGGTTCTTACAGGGTCAAATCAGGAAACCACTGCCCCCCAGAAGGAGAAACAGACTAGATTCACTTCAGCTTCAATGTAAGAACCTCAAGATTTTACATCGTTGGCACCTGACTCCAGTTAAATTGGCATTTATATATCCCGATTATGCTTCCAAATGTTGGACAGGTTGTCCCCAAAAAAGGGTCATTTTTTTCATTCGTGGTGGCCCTGCGATAAAGCTATACCCTTTTGGCATAACGTTTGTGGGGAGATAAGTATCATCGCTAAACCAAGAATTGAATGCTCCCCAGATGCTTACTACATTTATTTACAGGGCCAGGCCCCAAGCTTAAAAATAAGGAACATTCTCTATTTAATTTTAGCAGCTAAAATAATAATTGCCTCCCACTGGAAAAGTCTAGATAACCTCACAATTGAATGTGGATTAACAAGGCCTCTTCAATTGCCATTAGAAAAAAATCACAAATAACGTTAAACTAATGAGACATCAAAGACAGGAACCACAATTCTAACAAATTTGGATGGATTTTAGGGTTTACCCTCAATAGCAATAGAGCAGTGTTTCTCAGTCTCAGCAACTCTAAGAGTGGACTTCAAGTTGAAGTCCAGACATGTTAAAGTTGATAAGGTTGAGAAAGTATTGAATATAGAGTATTGAATATAGAGAAGAGGGGGAAAAAAGAGGATATTCTATTAATATTAGTTACAGTTTAGGATATTAATGTGACAAGCATTATGATTCTTTGCCTTTTTTCATTCAGAATGAAATTTGACCTTGGAAAAGAGAAGATGAAGGATGAGCATACAATAAGGTATTTGTTTTGTAATAAAGGTTTTGGTCTTAAGCTAAATTGTTTGATATTGAAATCTCCATCACGGTGTTAACTCGGTGTATTTATCCGTGTGTGTGTATGTGTGTATTTTTGTACATGTTAGCCAAAGGAACGAAAAAAAGATGAACAAAACAAGCCAAAAATTGAGATGTTAGAAAAAAGTGAAGAAGAGAAAAAAGGCAAAAATAAAGAGAACCAGCTGATTCTTTCTTAGCACGCAGAAATAAGACCCACCCAGTCGAGGCACCTAGCATGACCCCCGATGGATCGATCTTCTGAGAATGTAACAGAAAATCTAAGATAGACTACTCCTGTCTGATGAGGACATACAAGAGCTTATCCAAGGTTGGAGGGTGGGCCTGGGACCGAGAAGACACAGCTTGAAGTCCACCTGGCATGGAAACACCTTGGATGACATCAGACCAGCCCCTTTTTCTCAACTCAGCCTACCTCCCAGTGCAGGAAAAAAAAAATTGGACAAGGGGATGCCACGAAGCAGGACACGAACCCAAAAAATCACCCTAAAAGAGGCCACGGAGCACAGAAGACGGACGTCCTACCCTTAGAAGCTGCCAGTTGCTGCAGACGAAGAGGCTAATGTAATCTTTGCAGTCCCTTCGTTCTACCAGGGCCAGATAGCGGCCATCTTTCGTGAAGGCGACGCCTGCGATGTTTTGAGAAAATAAAATAAAATATATATCTTTCTCGAAAGGGGAATTAAATGATGAATGCCGACAGAAAGATTATTATATGGGTAATCTGCAATTAGATCCACAAAGATGGGTGAAAATAATTCAAGGTCCCTACCCAAGGACCTAAGAATTATTAAGGTAGCATCTGAGGATATAGGCAGTTCCAAGCAGGGAACCTTTTTGTAAAATTAGGGTGTTCAGGTCCGATAAATTCAAAATTTCCAAATATCGAGAGGGTCCTTTAGGTATTGCTCAAAGGGCTCCGATCACGATTGATGTAACAGCAGATTTCTTTTTCCAGAAGCAATCTGCAAGGTTGTTATTTATTTATATTTATTATGTGTATTTTATTTATTTTATTTTATCACAAGCCACCTAGAGGCGTGTAAAAGTGGGATGGGTGGCTATATGAAAGAAAGAAAGAAAGA